AGGAGGGCGGGAAATCCTCAACAAATGCAGACCTCAAAACCGGAAGAAAAAAACCCCATGATTCAATACATATTTATACTGAAGGTACTTTCAAGCAATTGCTTCTTCCAGGAATTTAGGGCTTTTTTAGAGAAAACCAAAACCACAGATGGCTATTCAGAGAGGCTTAAAGTATATGAATCTATTGCCTAATAAGCCTTTACAATCTCCCATATAAATAAACAGTGAGGTAAGAATTATTACATTCAATAAATAGAAGATAAAACACGCCTAGAGATACTAATCGACTTTCTGTTCCTAACTAAAAAATTAACCAGTGTTAGAATCTGCAATAAAATCTTGTGGTTCTCATCTTGGTGATATGCAATGAAGCATAGTTGCCCTCTTATATTTTCACATCAAAGCCATTTTTTGTCAGCTAGAAACCATGAAGAAGGTCTGGAAGGCTGGATGGTATGGGCAAGATTTTGTAACACATGCACTTAAGAGGCTGTAGAAAATTCTGAACAATGGTAGATGGATTCTGTGTGTTGGAAGCAAAGTTAACAATATTAGATATGATTGTATGGGTCTTTATTCCTTCTTTGATTCCCTCCAACACTCTTTAACAGTTAAAAAACAGCTATACAAGGTTATATGTGTAAAGTTGCATAGTTAGAGCAAGGTTTAAAGGGATGGGAGAGTTTACACTCTACTGACTGAAAATCCAGAATTTTTAATCTACTCAAAGGCACCAAAGAAGAAAGCTCTGGAAATCTACTTCTAAAAAAGTATTCATTAAAAACTTTATACAGCACAGTTCTCCTTTGACACAAAGTATCTGTGAACTGTAACTGGTAAACAATGCATACAATTTATGAAGTTAATAAATGGAATGACATGCCATTATATTATGGTCAAAATGACAGATAGTCTTTCACTAAGAGAGAAAAGATACTGAGATTTCCAGTTTGCCCACACTAAAGCGAAAATGGAGAAGATTTAAACAGTCATTGGAGGGAAGAACCCATGGGAGGCAAATCCTTTTGGGGTCTGACTGCCCTGCATCTGTCCTTGACAATCTAAAACTGATGAACCTAAGGTTTGTATGTTTGTTTTTTGGGTTTTGTTTTTTTTTTTTAATGAGAAAAATTTATTACATTTAGAATTAGCCTGCTGGACTCAGTTTAGATGATCCCAATTTTGTTGGCAACATCCAAAGCATCATAATCAGGAGCAAGTCGAACATAGGCCTTCTTCTCTCCATCAGGCCTAATCAAAGTGTTGACCTTAGCCACATCAATGTCACAGAGCTTCTTTACAGCTTGTTTAATTTGGTGCTTATTGGCCTTGACATCCACAATGAACACAAGTGTGTTGTTATCTTCTATCTTCTTCATAGCTGACTCAGTGGTCAGGGGAAATTTGATGATGGCATAGTGGTCAAGCTTGTTTCTCCTGGGAGCGCTCTTCCGGGGGTATTTGGGCTGCCGTCGGAGTCTCAGCATCTTAGGCGGTCGGAACGTGGGTGACGTGCGGATCTTTTTTTTGCCTGTGAATGCCCTTCAGGACTGCCTTCTTGGCCTTCAATGCCTTTGCTTTGGCTTCAGTTTTGGGAGGGGCAGGGGCTTCCTTCTTCTCTTTCGGCGCCATCTTCGTAGAAAGGAGGTTTGTATGTTTTATGAGACTGGGAGCACTGGTGACCCAGTGGATAGGGGTTTATGTTGTCAACCCAAAGGTGGGTGGTTCAAATCCATTAGTTGCTCCAAAAAAGAAAGATGTGTAATACCCTCTAATGTGATTTATAGCCTGGAGGGTCAGACATGAATCAGTTCTCACTGGATGACCATGAGTTGAAGGCTGAGACAGAAAATATTTCTTTTATTAAAGACTACTTGAATCAGCTACTATATTTTTCTTAATTTGTATCAGTTATTAGATTTCTGTTAAAAGTAAGTTATCTGCATAAAGTAAAAAAAGCTTTTTGTTCTACTTTCCAAAATTGAGGCATAAAAACAGATACATCAAGCCATAAGGTTATTTAAATTGCTACTACATTTTTTCAAAGTACCTTTTAGTTATTAGCAGCATGTTGTAAAATCTATTTAAGGTAAATTTATATTAAAGGAAACACTCTGATACCTGGATCGAGACAGGGGAAAAATTATCCTAGTTTATTCTGTAAGAGCTACCTTTAATATATAACAAAAGTAACACTTGGATCTAAATATGTGTGATCTAATAAAATAACTTATATAGAATTTTTTAAAAAAATCAGATATTCAACTTTGCTAGTCATCCAAGATATAGAAATTAAAGTAATATTGCATAATTACTTAAATTAAAAGCACTTAATAATATCTAATTGGTAAGGAACTGCCAACCCAATGATGGAATCTCTCATGGTTCGAATTCACCAGTTGGTCCATGGGAGAAAGAAGGACAATCTCACTCCTTACATTTATAGAGAACCTACTCTAAGATCAGCTATAAATTGGTACTGATGTGACAGAAATGAGTTTAAGGTGTTTTTATTTTTTTTAAAGGAGCTTCTGAATATAATTTAAGTTGTTATTGTTCATTCAAAGAATAATTTCTAAAAGAGAGATGGACAGACAGCAAGGGATATAATTAAAACACTCAAGCCAGCCACGTTCCAGATAATTCTACAGACAAGAACTTACCCTAAAGAAATTCTTTTACAAAGTCAAAGACTATATGCTAAAAACTGATGTTATACATCTATTAATCTATAAAAACCAACTTCTAGACTAAACATAGAAATCTAACAGTAAGTGCCCATAAATGTTTTGGCAAATTAAGCAAAAAAAAAAATCATAAGATACTATATTGTCATTGTTGTTAGATGCCCTCAAATTGATCTGGACTCATAGTAAACCCATGTAGGAGAGCAGAACCGCCCTATCTGGTTTTCTAGGTTTTAATCTTAGGAGGCAAATCACCAAGTCACTCTTCCATGGAACCTCTGGGTGAGTCTGAAACATCAACAGTTCAGTTAGCAGCCTAGGGTTAACTGTTGAGCCACCCGACCAAGTGATCTCAAAACAAGTTGTGAGAAAACAACAAAACCCAGAATAACCTGTACACCATAACTATAAAAAAGTGTTATTTATACTAACTGGAGTTGAGTTGGAATCAACTCACAGCTGAGCCTGCAGGAGGTTTTAGACTCTGTAAATCATATGGGAGGAGACTGCTTATGTGTCTCCCAAGTAGTAGCTGGTGGATTCATACTATCTGCTTTTGGGTTTTAGCAGTGCAACTCCTTACCCACGAGGCCAGAACACTCTTAAAATTGTACATGAAAAGGAGGAGGGTATTTTATGTAACACATCATTATAGGAGAAACCAGAAAATAGCCGGATGAAAGTGTTAAACAGGCAATGTGATAAAGTCTTTTATGAAAAGCTATTTCAAAGTTTAACTATTAATAAACCAACACATGCAAAAAGAGGTCTGGCCATAATAAACAAAACATGGAGAAGGTAAAGGAGCTTAAGATGATAAGTATCTACCTACTTCTTCATATTCCTGTGATACTTCAGTACAAAACTGAAATTAACCATAGGATGATATGTTTAAGCACTTATTTTAGAAACACACACAAATTGACATTCTAATTAAATAACTGTGACATTTTTGTGCTCAGTTTCACTGCTGAAAAGATTAAAAATGGCCAAAGGAAAACGCTTGGCAATTTGTGTTCTGGAGCATGGACCTCCCCTTATCACAGTAGCTGTCCTCTGCAGAAAAACACACAGTGCTGACGCTGGCCCAATAGCATTCTTAGACAGCAGGCGATTTTATGGAAGATAGTCATTCTATGGTGTTTCTCAAGACAGACAGGTACTGGGCAATTTCTGAGTTCAACCTGACCGGCACTGAAAAGTTCAGAACCCTGAACAATGCCCACAAATCCTTTAAAGTCAGCATACACACTACTAGCATGTCAGAACCCTGATAAAGAACAAGACGGCAGATACACAATGGAAACCAACACAAGCAGCAGAATCTCCATGACTCTAAAAACAGCAAAATGAAATCTAATGGACAATCACTGAGCTCCGACAGATTTCATATAATATCTTGCTAAATGCTGATTGTGATAATTTCAGAGAATAAAACACAGAACAGTTTCTACACCTAAATATTTCTTAGTAAGTATCTTTCTTCCACAGAACAAACTTTGGTGTAGCTGGAAACATCTGGAAACAAGAATTAACTTAGGCAAAAGCATGCATTTCATTTACTTTAATACTGAATTTTTCCCCTATTAATATAGATCTTTGAAACTTAAATTTTGACTTTTCATTTTTTCACAGACTAGGGTCTTGTTTTAGGTCTACAGATTATTTTTCATTTTTCCCTTTGAAGTTTTTCCTATAAGGGACACGAATAATAAATATACTCACTTCTTAAAGCTCTATACCAAATCTGAACGACCCAAACGGTCCATGGTTGTGTAGTAAAGAGCCCCGTGCTTAAATAAACAGTATTCTCATTTCTGTACACGTCATTAAACTCACAATTTGAAGAGTGACACGTAGCAATCAAAGCTTACTTTGCAGCCACCCAGGAAGTCAAATCATTCTGATTACACACAAAGGCCAAGCACACAAAAAAGCTCCAACTGTCGCTTCCCGGCAGGATCCCGAATGCAACAAGTGCTTGTCTGAGGCTGTAAAATGCATTTTCATTTTCTGCTAGATTTCTCTGCTGCCCCTCTGCCTCTCCTGCAGCTACTAAATCGATCACCATCAGATCCAGTTTAAAAACAGAGTTGACAGTCTCACTTGCTTAAACAACCTCAGCCAGCATTTGTAGTTAACAGCAGCCATCGTGAATGACAACATTTCTGGTCAGATAAGGAAAAACAAAAACAAATAACTTTATAAAAAGTAAAGCCAATAGCATGTTTTTAGTTCCCAACAGAGAACATTCCTTTGTTTTCTTTCACACCACACTGTGCATCTGGCCTGCCTCCCTCACCCTATGCTTACCCCAGGAATAATGCACTTAGTCTGAGGAGACATCAGGCGTCTGTCAAGCATGCTAGAGCAGTTCCAAAGGGGCCCAGCACTCCAGCAAGAATAATCCTCACAGGGGCAAGAACCCAGCAAAGGCTAGGCGCAGCCAAGTCTTGTTTTTCTGAGCAGCATATCAACTGCTTTCCTTTTCCTGATTGGTGTGGGGTGTGTAGTTTGAGCCAGGTTGACTTTCTAAAGTCCTTCAGATGGCAAAATTTCTCTCTGTTCCAGAACCACTTAGGCGCTGCCGAGGAGCCCATCAAAGTCAATTAATCCAGGCAAGTGGGAGGGTCTTTTTTTACTTTGAATTACGTCAGCTGTCTGGGAAGAGAGAAGCCTGAAAAGTTGTCAAAGCTGAGTAACATTTCATTAGTATCAGATGCATGGCTGCAGGCAGCCCTGGTCCCCACGCAGCTTCAGCATACTTCACTTATCATTGAACAGTGGGCTACAAAACCTGCCAATCTGTTAGCATCCACTACCAATCTGAAAAGCAGCCTGAAAGAAAAATGAAAAATCTTCTCCACCCCAACTGAAAAAAAAAAAAAAAAAAGGATTTTCCCTTTTTCATATATGAAAGGGGTTTTTTTTGGTCATTTTGAGGTTCTCAATGCATGTAGAAAATGTACATGCAGTCACATAAGTGACACTTGGATAACTTTATTACCTTTTAAATGAAAAACTTGTCTTCCTAAAATAAAATCAATCTGTGCTTGGGGGCTTTGCACCACCACCTGGAGGCACAGCTGAAGCATTAACAGTTCACAGAGGCAATGTTCTATATCCTATTGTGGTGAGTAGCGACTGGGATCTTACAAGATATCTAAGATGCAATTTTGATCTCTCCTTGTTCATAGCAAAGACCAATGATGAAAAGGAAAGATTCAAGGACATAATCAGTCCAAAGGGCAAATGGAACACGTGAACCACAGCTTCCATTACATTAGGACCAGAAATACTAGATGGTACACGGCTGTCACTTTCAATTGTTCTGAGTTGGACCACAGAAGATTCTGGACAGAATCTGGGAAAATACAGAACAAAATTCTAAATCATTACAAAGATCAGACTTACTGGTCTCTTCAAGACTAGTGGAATCCCAGAGACTGTGACTTTTATACCCTTCAAGCCTGCAATTGAACCCACATTCTCAGATCACCATACAGCTCTGGTGATCTGGAGGTTAAGGATTTTCACTGTCAACTCAAAGAAAGGCAGTTTGAATCCACCAGCTGCTCTGTGAGAGAAGGATGGGCAATCTCCTTCTGTGGGATTTATAACCTTTGGAAAACTCCGGAAGCATCGGCTATGAAAAAGCACCTAACAAGAAGAATAAAAAGAAGTAAAAAAAGTAACAAGATGAGAAGAGATGCCTCTGAACAATAACCCTAAGAGAGTAAAAGGGTTGCATGTCCCTCAAAGCAAAGCTCTGAAGGCAGAATTGTCAGGAAAGAAGGACCAGTGGAAATGGAGAACTCAAGGAGGAATTGAGAAGAGTGCTGCTACATTGAGGAAACTATAACCAATGTTACCAAAAAAAGATGATCATATACTGTTAAATGGAACATTAATTTTAAGTTTAAAACTTTTTAAGCTTTCCATGAAATAACAATATTTTTAAAAATTGAAAAGATAATCATAACACTTTTAAAACATGTTTGCATATAACAAAGGACTGTTGGTTTGGAATCATATTCAGCAACAAAAGTGAACGATCCAGAAGAACATTCAACTGCATAGATAAATCAGCACAAATAAAACGTTTGGTGGAGAAAAGCAAGAACATTAAGAATTTGTGATGGAATTTGTATAAAGCTAAAAAAATAAAATTACTATATAGCATGTATTAGTAAAAATAGAAAGGAAAACATAAAATGATCAGTATCAAGTCCAGGATCATTGTTACTTGTCTGGAGGATGGAACATATGGGACAGTTATCTATTAGGGGGAGCAATCTTATTAATAGCATTTTATTTCTTAAACTAGCTATATCAGTGGCAATGATATTATTCTCTGTACTTTTTATTATATATTAAATAGTTTATGATACATAAAGGTCTAAAATTAGGAAAATAGTTAAAGGAGTGTTTATTGGACCTTTTTATGATCTAACAAAATAGATCAAAATACATCCGAGTAAGTAGAAGTCTGCAGTTAGAGACTTCTCCAAATTATTGAGAAGTAATGATATCAGTTTGAGTAATAAGGTGCTTCTGATTCAGGCCATAGTCTTTCCAATCACATGCTATGGATCTGAGACCTGGGCAATGAATAGAGATGACAGAAGAATAATTGATGCCTTTGAGCTCTGGTTGTGTTGGAGAAGAGCACAAAACATCCCATGGATGGCGGAGAAAACAAACAGATATGTCTTGGAAAGGGTGCAGCCCGAGTGCTCTTGGAGTCTAGGATATTGAGGCTTTGCCTCACATACTTGGGGCATGTTGGATTGACATGGTGACTGTCACAGCAGGTTAATGTGTCAGGAAGTGTGAAGATGGCACACAAAAGGACAGGGTTCAAATCTATTGTTCATAGAGATGCTATGAGTCATACTCAACTCGACAGCACCTAACAACAACAAGAAGTAGAAGAAAAAAAGGAGACTGCCTTTATTTTTCCACAATAATAATCTCCACTGCTAAAAAATATTTAGGGAAAAACTTTGTAAGGATACTTGTAAATTACATTTACAGTTGTGTCTGGGTAGAGAATGGAAGGGTTTGTTTTTACTATCACACGAAATTTAATGTCTTTCATATGTTCTACAGTAGGTTCCCATTACTATTTTAACCTTTAAAGTTTCTGAAATATATAAAAGACAACTAAAGATGATCTGACATTTATCTTGGTTTTACTCTCTACTTACTATGGATAACTTTATCAACCCTAACCTGTAGAAAACCAATATCAAGGTAAAAGATGTTTGTGTAATAGAAATGCAAATGATGCTTATCTTATAGAAAAGATATTCCACGAAATTAGAGTTTTTCACATTGGACTGTTGATGGAAGAGATTTACATCTATAAAAAAGAGCAAGAAAGAAAGAAGGAAAAAGTAAAGGAAGAAGTTATCCTTTTATAACAGGAACAAGTTGTTTATTTAGCTTCTGAAGCAGAGTAAAGATGGCACCTAGCCTACCCCCCTCCACCTCCAAGACTTGAGGTAGACATATGCACATTAGTATTGATTGCTTGAATCCACAAGAGTGGAAGTAGGAAGACAATGGAGAAACAAAGGAGAAACAGGCTGAGCTTGGATGTGTTCGTTCAGCACTGCCCACCTAGCATGAACAGATGCCTGGATGAACAGGGAGAAGTTGCTGGCTTGAGGAGCCAAGGGAGTTGTGAGGCCCCTGGCCTGTTGAATCAATTGACTTTGCCCCATATGAGGTCTACAGCTGAGTGAGGAGACCAAGAGGTCTTGAATTCAGGGAAAAGAATGAACTTCTGAGTGTGCAGCTAATGCCCATTTAAACCTAGCCACAGACAGCTGGGGAGGAGTTGACTAGAACACAACCAGATGAAGAGAAGATGATTCATACTGTGAATCAGGGTTGATTGCTGTAACCTGATGGTTTGCTCTCGGCTGGACAATGCTTTTGGATTCAGATGCTCAGTTTCCAAGGCGAACAGAGGATCCTTCAACCAAAGGGATGTATTTGTTTTGTCAGAGTACTTGGTTCAATAGGAGTGGTCAAGTCAGAAATTTGCTATCAAGAAGGGGGATATTGGCACATGAGGCTTGAAGTAGATAGCTTACACAAAAGTAGTTCTTGGTAGGATGATTGTAAGGGAGGAGGGGGGGAAACTCCATAATATAAATGAATGAAATACAATTTAAAGGAAGGACTGTATGGAACACAATGAGCAATTAAAATATTAATGAAAAACACACACAGGTTCCCCACCCCTCACAAAATTATTTTATTGGCTTGCAGAACATTAGCCTGTTCTGAATACAAATTGGCAATCTAAGCTTAACATTCTTTTTCACTGACTATAAATACTTACATTTTATCTCTTCTGAACTGGCTTTACTAGTCTCCTGAATCCCTCGACGTAAAAAAAAAAAAAAAAAAGAGAACCATAATTCTCTATTTATTTGAGAAATATGTTCTTAATTTAAATAAAATTCTACTCTGAAACCAGTTTTCATTGGAAATAGTTTCTTCAGTCTATGGCATATATGATTCGAGCTTTTTTTCTTTAATTCTAACATTTTAGGCCAAACTTATAGTATTTTATAACACTCATTAAAATATATCTGCTATGGGAAAATAATAACCATAGCTGATGGTGCCACAGTGCCAAATACAACTCACAGCAAGCCCATTAACAGCAAATCCAAAATGGATTTTTTTCCAACTCTGATATACTCAAGTTCATTTATAGTCAGTGAATCAATCTATCTCATCCAGAGTCTCCTTCTCTCTCACCAAACTGCCTTTCCCAGTATGATGTCTTTTTTAAAAATAATTTTTTTATTTTAATTGTGATTTTAATGACAGTTTATAGAAAAGTTAGATTTTCATTGATTCATTACTGCACATTTTACCCCTCTTCCTTCCCTTCACCTGCCCCCAGTTCACGTTTTGGGTCTTTTAAAATATATTCATTCATTGTTGTACAATTACCTCCCTCCTCTCAGATGATGTCTTTTTTTTTTTTCAAGGAATGCCCCCTCCTAAAAACATGTCCAAAGTATGTGATGCAAAGTATTACCTTCCTTGCCTCTAAAAAGCAAGCTGCACTGCCTTTAAGACAGATTTGCTGTTCTTTTGGCAGTTCATTGGATTTTCAATATTCTTCTCTGACACCAAAATTCAAAGGCATCAATCCTTTTGTCATTCTTATTCAGGTGCACAGGAAACAACTAAAAACACACTGGCTTGCATCAGGCACACTTTAGTCTTTAAACTAACATCTCTGTTTTTTTAGCATTTTCAACATCAGTGTTGTTCTTCCATATCAGAGAGTGAGAATAATCCATAGCTGACTCCCTCAGGTAGACTTTTAGAGGCAGTTAATCTCATGTAAGGTAACTGCTCATCTCTCTCCTGTGAAGCAGGTAGTGGATTTGAACCTTGTACCTTTACACTGCCAGGACAACTCCTTATTAATTTCAGACAAGCAAAAAAGCAACTGATGTTTGAAGAAGAAAAGGATGAAGGCAGAAATTCTAAATGAAACATACAGGATAGGTTGGTCCATTCTATAAACTCTCTATTCCTACAATAAAACATTATTTTCTTGTTTTTCTATC